CTCATTAGGTGGCCAAAGTACTTGAGTTTCAACTTCAGGATCTGGCCTTCTAAAGAGCAGTCAGGGTTGATCTCCTCTAGGACTGACCGGTTTGATTGCCTTGTAGTCCAGGGGACTCGCAGGAGTCTTCTCCAGCACCATAGTTTAAAGGCCTCAGTTCTTTGGCACTCAACCTTTCTTATGGTCCAACTTTCACAGCCATACATTGCAACTGGGAAAACCATGGCCTTGACTATACGTACTTTTGTTGGCAGGGTGATCTCTCTGCTACATTACAAGGATTAAAAAAAAATGCATTATTAGTTTCAGATATAGATAGACCTCAACTCACAATCATTTGTTTAATGACTGTTTGTAGTTAAAGCGGCATGGCTAAAAGTGAGTTATAACCAGTCCTTGGATTTGCGACCATCCCAGAACCCCCACAGTCATAGGAATCAAAATTTGGGTGCTTGGCAACCGGCATGTTATTTATGGCACTTGTAGTCTCCCAGAGTCAAGTGATCACCCATTTGCGACCTTTCCTAAAGAACCACTGGCTTTGATCTTGGGAACGTAACTGCCTTCTTGACTTTTTTACCCCCTTGTGGTTTTGTCCAGACTTTGTTACACCTGGATGGAAAAACACCAAAACCACTAAGATTTTCGTCTAAGCTGGGAAGTCAAAAAAACATCCTGCTGGAATGCAGCGGTGAACCACTTCTGTATTACTGTACTGAAAGATTATTATATGAGAAAGAAGAAAATTAAATGGGCAATTCCATGAAGTTTCCAGAAGCTAAGCTCAGTGTGAAGGAGACTTTATTTTTAGAAACCATATAAACATTAAACATTAATTGGCCTGTTGTTAACGGGCTTAACTCATTATACCTGCTCTTTCATGGAAACTAGAGGAAAATCATGCCATGTTACTTGGCAGTGCGATGCTGGGAAATTCTAGGAGGCTCATTCTGTACTGACATTTGGTAGAGTTGTGAATTATCCAGCCTGAAATAAATCTATTATCCACCCCCACAATAACAATTAAAAAGTAGACATTGAAACCAGCATGAAGTGTGCACTAAATGGCTGCTTAGAAGAGAGAGAGAGAAAAATAAGAAACAATCCTTCTAAGTTGAGAAATTACAAGTAGTCCTCAACTTACGACCACAATTGAGCCCAAAATTTCTCTTGTTAAGTGAGACATTTGTTAAGTGATTTCTCTCCCCCCATTTTATGACCTTTTTTGCCAAAGTTGTTAAGTGAATCTGGCTTCCCCATTTGACTTTGCTTGTGAGTAGGTCGCAAAAGGGGATTACATGACTTTGGGACACATCAACGGTCATAAATATGAACCAGTTGCCAAGCATCTGAATTTTGATCACATGGCCATGGGGATGCTGCAAAGGTCGTAACTGTGAAAAACGGTCGTAAGTCCTTTTTTCAGTGCCTTTGTAACTTTGGACGGTGACTAAACAAATTGTTGTAAGTCAAGGACTATCTGTATTTAGTCGATTTATTTCAACATTGATTTGTCACACATTTCATTTAGTTGCTCCGGACAGCTTACAAACATTTCATTACAATAAAATATAATCTAACAAACTGGTAAAAAGCAGCTTTTGTTTAAAAAAAAATATCACCCCCTCCTAAATATCAGCAGGGTGAGCCCAGCCACTACTCTAGTGTAAGTTGCTTCATAGTTTAGGATGTGCCCAAGGAAAAGCAGAAATTGATGTTGAGATTAGAAATATTTCCAGCAGCCATTGAAGAAAATGTCTCCCGTTGAAGTTTTAAAAGAGCCCAGGAAGACCTTCACTGAAAAAGGGGGTTGATCAAGTGATCTGCACCCAAGTTAAGTATTTTTTACCTTGTACAAAAGTCTAAAATTGTCCATCAGCTTGCACCAAAATTGATGAGGAAAACCTTCAATTTTCTGCCCTTATGCTTACAAAACTGGTGTACATAAACACCTGAAAATTCTATTTTAGATCAGGTGATAAGCCTCTATAAGTGGCTACAGATGTTCAGCTTTTGCCTTAGCCAGGAAATATTTAACAAAGAACCTTGTGCTACATTTTCATCAAAAAGTATGTCTTTTTTTCATCGAGCATGGATTAAGAAGATATAGGACAGGAGAAAGCTCAGATGAAGCACTCGAGATACATTTCTTCAATCCTTAAAGATAGAAAAGACATGAAGTCTCATTAAAGTGAAATTAAGGTGAAAAACAGCAGCATTAGTTATAAAAGACAAGAATTGGGACTGAAGACGGTATAGAATTCATTTTCCCAATTTGAAATTCTGCCCTGCTAATTCCAAATCACAAGCTAAGTCACTTTGAACCCTGGATATGACAGTCTCACACCTTTCATAAATTTATGCTCATCTTTTACTTCAGTCATGAAATTTCTTGTCTTGTTCCATTGTTTTATGCATTACAATGTCTTCAGCATTCCCTGTATATTTTACATTCAGAACAAAACAAATCCTGTTTTTAAATTCTGCTGGATTTTAATTATCATTAGCATAGATTCAAGTTCACATTTTAGCTCATTTAAACAGCACCAAACATGAATACAGAATCCAATCCTGCTGCTACAGTATATTGAGCTCACAATAGGAACAATTTAGCTGCGGGGAAAGGGATTTTATGTACAAATTATGTCATTTATTAATTGGCATACCACATTATAATATATTTTAAAAGTAAAAATAATAATATTAAATATGTTCCTATTTGTCTGCAACTCCAAACTATCTTATCTCTATTTCTGTCTCTGTTTCCATCTCCTTCCTTCCTTCCTTCCTTCCTTCCTTCCTTCCTTCCTTCCTTCCTTCCTTCCTTCCCTCCCTCCCTCCCTCCCTCCCTCCCTCCCTCCCTCCTCTTTCTTTCTTTCTTTCTTTCTTTCTTTCTTTCTTTCTTTCTTTCTTTCTTTCTTTCTTTCTTTCTTTCTTATAAATATCTGGCTATCTAGCTATCATCTATCTATCATCTATCTAATTTTAAGAAAAAAAAGATTACTGAAGTGAACAAATGCTTTTAATGGGTAAATATATAACTTGGGCAATGTGTGCTTGATCTTAGCACACCTTAGCACCATATTATATTAACTAATCTAGAAAATGATTTAACCAGCAAAAGAAAAATGGAAAGAAATGTTTTTAAATTTGCTCAAGAATGTCCACAGGCTTACTCTCATCTTAAATCACAACACATTGTATTCTAACGCAAATGTAAGTCCTATATAAACTCAGTAGGATTGTTTTCCATGTAAGTGAGGGTAGGATTAGAGTCTGACGTTAATGTATTATTACTGAAAATAACAAATTAAAAGTGGGATTTTTTTTTCTGGGGTGCACCTATCTCAATTTAAATCTTTGAAAGTTCAAAAGAAAACTCATATTTTCTTGTTAGCAACAATTTAGGACCTGGATTGCTTATTTATATGAACAAATTTGTTGGAAGCTGAAATTGTACAGACTTACTTCGGACTTTTAAGAACAAGAATTTAGCAAGCATTTCAGACAAAATGCACAATTTTAGTTTCTTTCCCAAATTGATATTTTCAGCATTTTAAAGAGTCATTGTGGACAATAAACAGTTCAGACTTCCTAATGAGAAAGACAATTGTGTGACACTCATAATGAAATTAATTATGATAATAAAGAGGAATTTGATGTTATATTAATGCACTATTGTAAAAAGATATATTCATTACAACACATATTCATTATTTTGAATTTGTTAGAGCAGCCAAAAACTTTGATTTTGAGAAATTCAAGATTAGTAGACGACCAATTTTTTCTATTTGTAACTAAGAAAAAAAATTGTCCTCAGAAGTGAATGTGTGATATAAACTCTTGAAAAATATGAGACATGGAATTTGTAATTTTATGATGCACAATATTGTTAAAATATTAAAATTTTAATATTAAAATTTTCTAATCCTATTAACATTTTCTAATCATAATTACACAATTACACAATGATTAAAAAATCATGTATATATTGCACATACATCTTAGAAAACTGCTAAACGTATTTCTAGGTAAATTTCTAGGTGGTAATATTGACAGATTTCCTATCACTTCCATAAACCAGAGTGTATTCTCTGAATTCATTTTAGAAACCACTTTACATTACCTTATTTTATTTTATTATTGAAGGAAAATTTTTTAAAATAAAACTGGCAGCATCTTTGTGGGGTGAACTGTAAGTTTGGTTATGATCCCTTTTTTAATTAAAAAAACATCCCCGTTATTTTGCAATCTGTGATCTAATTGTGGGCTTGAAAAAAAAGAAACTTATGGCAATTAAGAAATTAAATGGTTTTCAATTGAACTGGACAGTTTTAACATATGGATGGGATGCAGATGCTACAACTGAATACTAATTAATTATCCATCCTCTTTTCATTGTGAATTTGACTCCTATTTTCTACCACCTGATTTCTTACAACCATGACTCCCCTTTCAACATTGACTTTGATAGCGGTGGATCTTTTCTGATCCAGAGACTATGGAGGCAGGACAGTTACTGTAGTTCGGTTGGGATAAATCTCTAGAGTGGAGGCAGAGGAGAAATTTACTAAGCAGCATGGATAAAGAGAGGCCAGAACATCTCTTCCTAGTTACCTTTTATGTAGCAAGAGTTATTTCCCCCAGGGGAAAAAATCACTAAGTTGATTTGGAAAGTGTCTGGAATAAGGGGAAAACCTGGCATATATGCCAATTGTTAATGTTGCAATTAATATGGTTTCTCCGTTCTGCACATTACAAAGAATTGGTTGCAGCCTTGTTCTAATCCACTTGACAATTAGCATTTCTATTGATCAGCCTAATGGGCATGGTAGCTGGGCCCTTCTCTTGACTTCCAGATGCGTTGCGAGGATGGTCAGGTTGTGATCCCAAACATCTGAAAAATTACAGTAGTAGTAGTATAAGTCATGACTCTCTGAGCTCATACCAGCTACGAGTAATCGGCCTTCCTCCAGTATCCCTCCTTGCTTACCTGTATGTCAGGTGCCTGTAGCCCCTTCCCTCTGAGACCCATTTCTGCTCTGGAGGCATGGCAGAAAGCTCCAAGAAGCCCCTCGTTGGTGTCTACGTAGGTATTCACGGTAGTTGCGTGTGAGCAGAGTGTAGAGGAAAGGGTTGATGCAGCTGTTGCCGTAGGTCAAGCAGGTCACCAGATGATTGACAGAGATCTCAGTGTGGATGGGCAGGTGGACTGCCGATGGGCAATAAAGGGGAAGGAGTTGCCAGATCCAAAAGGGCAAATAACAGGCCCAAAAGGCCAAGACAATCACAAGGATGAGGAGGAAGACGCGGTTCTTAGGGGAGCGTCCCAAGCCTCCACGGGTCTGTGACAGCCAGTAGCTTCTTGCCAGGCGCCAGTAGAGCGACCCAATTACTATCCCAGGTGCCACTATGCTGGTGCCAAAAAGGATGCTCAGGTAGACTTTGTATTGCTCCTCACTCCAGGTGGGGGAGCAGAGGCGACGCACCCCAGCTCCATTCCCCATTGTACGTTCCTCCTGGTGGATCATGACCATCATGGGGAGGGCCAGAGCAAAGGACAGGAGCCAAACAGCAATGGCCAGTGGTCTGCTGCATCGCCGTGCACGGCTGGCAGCCTGGAACGGGTGCACCACAGCAGTATAGCGCTCACAACTCATCAGAGTCAGCAAGAAGATGCTGGCATGCATAGTGAGGAGGTCTAGGCTGAGCAGAATCCGGCAGCCAGCCTCCCCAAAAGGCCAGTCCTTCGCCAGCCCATTGTGAACAATGAAGGGGGCTGTCAAGAGATACAAAAGGTCAGCCAAAGCTAGGTTAATTAGGTGGATATGCAGAGAGGAGGCCGAGGCAGAGGCCCGCACGACCGCCAGGGCATAGAGGTTGCCGGCCACCCCGGTAACACACATCAGGCTCAAGACAGCTCCCAGGACTGCTGCTGATTCATGTCCTTCCGATGAGGAGCCATTGCCTAGCAGTAGCCACGAAGAAAAGTTTGTTGATGATGTCATCATGAGGAAATGGTCCAAGGTAAGCTGTTCGGAAGAATTTTTTAACATTCTAGTCCTCAGGAGAGAAATCAAGGAAAGCGTACTAGATGTCCATCAATCTCTATTTCTACTTATCAGTTAAGTGGAATATCAAAGTCTATATCATATCACCTCTTTGTCTCCCTACTGTTTGGTCTACTGCTCCATCTATAAGTCTATCTGTTTTCCTTTTGATTCTTCCCATTCCTCTTTTTGCTCCATCTTATTGCTGTATTAAAAAAAAATCGGTTTGAGGTTGTAAAGGATATTTTTGGGAGGGTCACTTCCCCCCCATCTCTCTTGTATCTGAGGCATATGGTCACTGCTTTGAATCTAGACATGAAGAAGCTTCTTCTTCCGATCCGCCGTCCCTTCTTCTCTTCCTCTATACTCTCAGTGTTGGTAATGGCGCAAGGTCTCCTATGTGTGAAGAGGATCTGTGTGTATCTGTCTGGGTTTGCAAATTCTCTTCTCTCACATTCTTCGCACCCTGCTAATATTGGTATGTTGGGGTCGAACCTTGGTGCAGCTCCTGTCTATTTTGAGGAGCCTGTTTATTTCAACCCTGAGGTGGGATTTTGACAGCACGTCAGCAACAGGGGCTAAGGGGCGGGTGCTGGGATGACATTTAGGGGTCTGATTGGTCTGGAGATGGAGACAGACAGAATTTTCCCCACCTCCGCCACCCCAAACAGACATACACACAGGGTCCAACTCCCTGCTGGCATAATTATACAACTTTCCATGGAATGATGCCAACCACGAGAAAGAAAAAATAACCAAGAGATAGAAAGACAGAAGGGGACTGTATTGATCAATGGACAAAAGAAACTCACAAATGCAGACACAGAAAGACAGACCTTAGATGAAAAGGAGTGAAATGAAAATGACCCATGCCTTTTCATCCATCTGTTTCCTACACTAGAATAAGGTGATGGCAACAGACAGCCCTTCCATATCCTTGCTGTAGATTTTGTTTTCATGTCTTATCCCCTTTAATCATAGTCCCGCCATTAAATCATTTGCACATGTCAGATTTCATATTCATCAAACTTTCCTAGTTTTAATCAAACTGTCAGGTCAACCATATTTAACTACAAACTGCCCACCATATCTAAGCTTAGTGTGTTGTGTAAACCCCGCCACATTGGGTAACATCTACAACAGTACACAATTTTTGTGATATGGGTGCTACACTCACTGTTCAATGTTAAATAATGAACAGACGATTTGTACACCGAGCTAAGCATATTATATGTTACTTTTTGTGACTATCAACAAGATAATGTGTTAAAAAAATTTACTACTTCAACATTTTCATTAATGGTTTGGATCAAGCTGGTAGAAGATATTCTTATCATATTTGCACATTATACAAAATGAGGTGGTGCAGTTAATAATCTCAAAGATGGGCATCTATATTTAAGGGGATTTTGACTGAAAATAGCAAAATGAAATTGCAAAGAAAGTTCTTCATTAGCAAAAAGAAATCAAACACAAGGAGATAGCATAAGAGACATATGACTTGGGAACAGTATATATAAAAAGAATTGTGATATATAACTGTGATAGGGTTCCAGAAAAGAAAATGGATTTTAGGCAGGATCAGTCAAATTATAGTTGTAAGCTGCCTTGAACGCTCCATAAAAAAGGAGAATATATCAGTTTAAAACAATAAAAAGAAAGGAGAATATATCAATTTAAAACAATAAAAAGAAAGGAGAATATATCAATTCAAAACAATAAAAAGAAAGGAGAATATATCAATTCAAAACAAATAAATACATGCATAACATACATTTCCAAATTTTGGAAGATAATAATGAAAGTAATAATTATTCTTTATTTTGCTTCAAGACCTTTATACAGTATCTTGTTCAGGGCATCTCATTTAAAAAAAGATTTAATAAAACTAAAACTGGTGCAAAAAAGGGAAGGGAGGTTGAAAAATACTGTAAGTCCTAAGGAAAGAACTGGATTTATTTAGGCTTCAAAAAAAATTGGTTTAGGCTGTGGGTGATACGATTATCATAATACTTTTCAAGCATCCAAAGGGATGCCTTGTAGAAGATCAAAAACAGTGGTCTGTTATTATCAAATGGAGAACGAATGTCCAATTACAGGAAGGTACATTCTGGCTGAATGTTGTTGTTGTTGGTGGGGACTCCTAAAAGGAACAGCTGTTAATCAGCAGTACAATTTACTAGTTAGTTGGTAAGTTAATTTTCACTGAGGCTGTTCATAATCAGAGGTTGGGCAGTCATCTGCAAGAGATATAGGTAGTCCTCAACTTACAACAATTCATTTAGTGACCTTTTGAAGTTACAATGGCACTGAAAAAAGTGACTTATGATCGGCTTTCACACTTAATGACTATTTCTGCATTCCCATGGTCACATGATCAAAATTTGGGTGCTTGGCAGGTGGCATGTATTTATGACAGCTGCACTGTCCCAGGGCCATCTGATCACCATTTGTAATCTTCCCAGCCGGCTTCCAACAAGCAAACTCAATGGGGGAAGCCAGATTTGCTTAATGATCACGTGATTTACTTTACAAATCCAGTAATTGGCTTAACAACGGTGACAAAAAACTTCATAAAAATGGGGGCAAAACTGCCTTTCTTAGCCACTGAAATTTTGGGCTCCTTTGTGGCTGTAAATCGAGGGCTACCTGTACTTTAATTGGGCTACCTGCACTGAGCAGAAGATTACACTTAAATCGGTCCTTCCATTTCTAGAATATTTTGTGCAGCTATACAGGAGCAGAAGAAAGGCACAAGCTGCATTTACTTTAGGCCTGTATGTATCTGACAAAGCAGTGCTTGTAAGAGAGGGGGCAGTTTCTTGGCTGTGAGTGAAACGCTGTGCAGATGTGAAATGTTTGCGGCAGTATGTTTTCAGCTAGGTGTCTCTCAGAATTTCACGCACATATTATTCCTGTTGGGTGTTTGAATGTGTATGTGCTTTACCACTAGTGTGTTTTGTTGGTGTGTGGGTGTGTGTGAACTTGCTATTCAGAAGCAGACATCTAGCGACCAAATCAACAAATAAAACTTGTATTTTTAACACACTCTCCACGAGGGCACGCTCCAATCACAATTTTACAAAAATAACCATTAAAAATCCGACAGCAGTTAAAATTATACAAAGAAAATAAAATCAAGTGGAATATTTTGAAAATTGGAGTGAACATAACGCTGTACAATTAAAAGATTCTAAACCTGCCGTCCACCTGGCTTTACTAATAAGATTTACAGCAAAACAGACCTATCACTGTTCTTAGCCTTCTGTTCATAGTCACTTCCATCTGTTTATTGAATAAGCAGATTTTCAGATCCTTCTGAAAGATTCGGGGATGGCAGTTGGAATCTGTCATCCAATGCATTAAGCCACTCTCCCATTGTGTGTTGCTGTTTTGTGAACTGTGTCTTTGCTAGGCTTGCTCTTTTGGTCATTTCAGGGATGGTCTCAATCCTTTCTGCTTTTAGAGCTCTCTTCTTCTCTCTCATCTCCAGAATCAGTTTCTCCACCATTTCATTAATCCCTGGATTGGGTTAGGAAGAGGGTTTTGCTGATTTGAGCTGAGTGGATCTGGTGAGCCAGAAGGCAGAAAAAAATCTGTGCCGGCAAGCCAGGGCTTGCCCAAAGCAAATTTGTGTGGTGTTGCTGGATTTGTTTAACCTCGTGGTGACCCTCCAAGGCAGGGGGTTTTCTTGGAGAGGGAAAGGACTCTAAGCATTGAGACCAGGCACAGAGCAAGACCCCAGAAACAATGCTTGGGCTTCAGGCAAGAAGTCCTGGATCTCAACTTACAAAGGTTGAATAAGGAGCAATGAATCTGAGCATATGCAAAGTGTTTCTTCCTCAAAGGCAGTCAGCTTCTGAAAATGAGGAGCTCCTAGTTTCCAGCTCTCTGACCTTGGTTGTTTTCTGGCAAACGTTTCATTATTCACACTGAGTAACACCATCAGTGCCAATAGGAAACGGGGTTTGCTATTAATTTATATTCTGGTGGCTTGCCCTGTCAGTGTTGATGGGAATGGTCTTGGTCTCTTTGGTTGGGCTGTTTACTGTTAGCTTATTTGGCAGTCCCTTGATTGGGGTGGTGTTTGCTTCTTGATTGTAGATCTGATGTTAATCTTGGTGTTAATCTATGCTCAGCTGGGTCTTAATTGCTGGTCAGGAGATGTTTTGGTCTTTTTGTTCCCTTGTTGATTTCGCTTTGTAAGAAGCCATGGGGCTGAGTGGCAAGCTTGGTATCTAGATCAGGGGTAGGCAACCTCGGCTCTTTTATGACTCATGGACTTCAACTCCCAGAATTCCTGAGCCAGCCATGCTGAGGGGAAAGGGAGAGGTTTCCAAGCTGAGTCACGCTGGCTCAGGAATTCTGGGAGTTGAAGTCCATGAGTCATAAAAGAGTCAAGGTTCCTAGCCTGAGCATGGGGTTGGACTTGAAGACCTCCAAGGTCCTTTCCAACATTGTTGTTGTTGTTGTTGTTGTTACTACTACTACTACTACTAATACTACTACTAATACTACTACTACTACTACTACTACTACTACTACTAGATAATGTGGGAATTGGCCACTTTTGGGGTACCTCTGCTGACCTTATTAAATAATAATAAAGCTTAAAATCCCTTCACAGGTAGTTCTCAACTTACAATCATTCATCTATTGACTGTTCAAAGTTACAACAACATTGAAAAAAAGTGACTTATGACTGTTTTTCACACTTGTGATCATTGTAGCATCCCCATGGTCACGTGATCAAAATTTACGCAACTGGCATGTATTTGTGACGGTTGCATTGTCCCAGGGTCACGGGATCACCTTTTGTGATTTTCTGAAAGCCAAGTCAATGGGGAAGCCAGATTCACTTGACAACCATTTTACTAATTTAACTACTGCAGCAATTCACTTAAACAACTGTGGCAAGAAAAGTTGCAAAATGGGGCAAAACTCAACAACTGGACTCAGTT